GCAGGGAGGGGACTCTCCTGCACCAAAGTTCCATCCAAGGCAAGCTTTCTGGCTATGCTCAGCCGTCCTGCTTTCTTTGCTGCTTGGATACTAAGGGCTCGGGTCAAAGGGGGGGGGGGGGGGGGGGGGNNGGGGGGGGGGGGGGGGCGCCGTGGGCTCGAAGAGTGAATAGATTCGGGGGCCCAATAAACTGCAGAATCTCAGCTGAGGACCGTAGCCCAAATGCGAAGAGGAAACCGAACCTCAACATGTGAACGCCCTCAACTGCCGTACAATCTGAGCTTGTTGTACTCGTATTTTTTGCAACCTCCACATCCGAATAGAGACTTAAAGAAGTTTGGGAAGCCCTTCAGCCGAGGTTATATGGACTGCTCTCTTGCTTAGCCGGAAACTCAGATCTGAGAGTGGCAGCTTAAGCGGCAGGAGTCGTCAGGTTTGGGGAGTCCGTGCCCAAAAAGCTTTGTAACGCTGGAGCTGGAGCCCAGAAGCCCGGATATGATACAAACCAAGCCAGCCAGGACTTGGAGCCCAGGTACTCGTAGCATGGTCAAGACTTTCTCAGGGCTGAGTCGGAGATCCTTAAATTCAGCGTCCAAAGACTCCCAGAAGCTCTGAGGCCTTGAACCGCAAATCCCCTCAAACCCCAAACCGCAAGCCTCACTTCACTGCGAGGTTCCCAGTGTCCTCGTTCGCCCGCTTTGGACGATGGTCGGGCCCCCAGCTGTTGCCTGCCCCCCACGAATTTCAGAAAGCCCATGAGAAGCCATGAGCTCTCAGACAAAGGCTTGGCCTTTGATGGGATTTAGTTTTGGGCTTAGGTGTAGTATTATGGGTGATCGAAGTAGCAGCCGGAGGACCAGGAGCAGCAGCAGTGGCGGAAGGAGGCACCATAGAAGCCTGAACTATCACCACTGACTATTATTCTTCAGCGGTCCCTACTGTATTTCTGATTTAAGGACCCCATGATCCCATTGATTATTTAGTCCTCGATGTTTAGCTGCACAAGCCGGGCCTCGGGCTCCTACAGAGCCGTGCCACGGCAAAAGTAGGACCCCAGAGAGATCTTGCCACAAGTGAGATGCTCACCAAGAGGCCTTCAAGGTCAGATATCATGTTGTATAATAGTATGCACTGCCTTTCGCGGACCGGTGTACTATTCTTTACTGTAGTGTAGTACAGTATGTGACAGTATTTTGTGCAAATATGTGTGTATGTATATATATATATATGTGTTTTCATATTTGTTTATTTGTTTATTGACTCTTTATTTGGTCAGTTATGTACGTTACATGTTTACTGCAGTCATATATGTATATAATATTTGTTCATTTGCTTTGCATTTTCTTAAGTACTGCGTGCGGTTAAGTGTTTATTCCTTCGGTCATTTATGTTCACTTATTTGCTGCTGATTTATTGCTTATGTGGTGATGTATTATTTGTTTTGATATGTACATGTGCTGTGTGTATGTGCATATATATATATATACATATATATATATATAGATAGAGAGAGAGAGAGTGTGTGTGTGTGTATTTCGCTGCATGATATTACAACATGTTCCAGTATACTATACTGTATTATCGACTGTTGTACATTTCATTCGATGGGTTCAGGACGACGGCAAACGTCTCTACCCCAAGAACACAAGGTGCAGACATGAGGGCAAAAGCAGCAGTCCTTCTTTGTTGCCTCGGCTGCCTAGGTCAAAGCAGACCTACCCACGGCATTTAGGGCTTTCGTGGCCATCATGCTCGGCTATAATGCTGCCATCGCGATCGTGAAGGCCTCCTAAACCAGTGAGTGTTGGGGCATGTGGCAAAGAACACGCGGGTCTATATACTTTAAAGCGTATGCAGGCGAATCAAGGCTTCAGTTTGGGCGGGTTCCGTTCGGAGACCGCTTCGGCGGCTGCTTCCCGCCGCAAGGGGGGTAGTCACTTAGTATTTTGTTGGGGTCTGTTGTGTTGAGAATCTCAGCAGCATCTTGGTTGGATTTCGGTCCTGTGCAGCGTCTGGATCGAGAGCTTTGGCCAACTCGACGACTCCCCCGTGGCCCCTGCCTCGCGAGATGCTGCGTGTCCGCTTGGTTTCGGGACACGAGATCGCCGCTTTTCCCGTTGATGAACTGAGAGACTGGGAGGATCAGTCCGTGAGGGCTTTGAAGCGCCAGCTCTCGAGCCGGTGTGGGCTGCCGAGATTCAGACAGAGGCTCCTGCTCCAGGATGGCACCGTTCTACCAGAAAGCACCTCTCTGGATGGATCGGTTGAGCTACAACTCGTGCTTCTGGACTTTGCGGAAACTTCCATCGACCAGGCCTTGGAACTTCAATCAGCAGCCAGACGCAACAGAATCCCAAAGGTGGAGGACTTGTTGCAACGGCCGCAAGATCCAGACCAAACGGATGGCCATCGGACTCCTCTAGTGAATGCAGCCTTCCATGGAAACACGGAAGTCCTCCGACTCTTGCTGGAAGCCCGTGCAGATTCCAACAAGGCACGCTACGACGGTTCGACCCCTTTGGTAGTGGCTTGCTCCATCGGCTCGTCGGAAGGCGTTCGTCTGCTTCTTGAGTCCGGGGCGGATAAGGACAAAGCCGGCCCAAGCGACGGGACCCCTCTGCTTCTCGCTTGTCAGAACGGCTTCTTGCAGGTCGTGAGTTTGTTGCTCCAGGCAGGAGCCGACAAGGACAAGGCCCGCGACAATGGCGCCACCCCCTTGTTCATCGCCTGTCAGCAAGGTCATCTTGAAGTTGTTCGTAGTCTACTGGAGGCAGAGGCTGATGTTGACAGGGCCTGCTGCAATGGTGCAACCCCTCTCTACATCGCATGTGAGCAGGGTGGCCTGCAGTTTGCCCATGCTTCCCACGCCTTGGTGCAGTCTGGTGGAGACGATGCCTGGTGGTTGGAAAGGTTCCGCCTCTACTCCGAATATTACGAGTTCCGCCACCTGGCGGTTGTTCGACTCCTGCTGGAGGCCCGTGCTGACACCGATAAGGCCGTGCTCCTCGATGGGGCAGCTCCTCTCTTCAAGGCCTGTCAGGAGGGTCACGCGGAAGTCGTGCGTCTGCTACTGGAGGCTGGTGCAGACAAAGACAAAGCTCGATACGATGGATCCACACCAGTGCTCGCAGCCTGCACCGCGGGCCATTTAGAAATTGTTCAGATACTCGTCGAGGTGGGATTGTCCTAAAATCAAAGGCCTCCCCAGTGTAAACTCTTGAGGGATCTACTTCTAAAGGAAACCCCGCAGGGTCATTGCTAAAGACTTTCTTGGCGAAAGCATTCCAGTGTTCAAGGTCAGCGCAGACACCGACAAAGCCAGCGACAGTGGCGACACCCCGTTTGGCGTGGCATCACGTCGTGGCCATCAAAAAGTGCTTGAGCTGCTCGCAGGCAGGCTATCAGACGGAGCGCAAGTCGGCTCCGACCAGCCCGCAAAGAGGGCGAGGCTTGCTGACAATTCGGAATTTGGTGGCGTAGCCAGCTGCCCTTGAACACCAGCGCCTTGCTGAAGGAAAAGACTGCGCCAACTTGTAAGCTTTGACATAGCTTTCCTTGAGTTTCATCGCACGGCTTGCGGAAAACCTCCCATAGGGCTGACCTCTATCTCCTACACTTCACCACTCACCATCAATCTTAATTAATTATGACACTTCGAGCTGTAGAGTCCCCCTAAACCCTAAACCGAGTACAGAGTCCAGTGATACCGCAGTTTTGCAGGGTTTACAAGGGGTGAAGCATTCTCTAGCCAGAGACTCTCAAGCTCGCCCGGCTCAAATTCCCAAGATGTATATATATATATATACATACATGTAAATAAGATGCGATACTACGGCGTATATAATATGTCAGGGACTTTACAAGGGCAAATATTACTGAATCTTCGACCCTCTGCCGTTTCAAGCGCTTTTTCTCGCGGGAGGCGGCGATGAACTTCAGCGGCATGCGAGCAATGATCGCGTTCCGCCGCGCACTGACGGCCGCTGTGGCAAGAAGGGGTTAAGGTTTAGGGGTTTAGGGGCTTCAGCTTCAAAGCTGGCTTCATAGCGCTTAAGGGCGCAGGTTTACAGGGTTTGGCCCTCAGCCACAAGGCAGCTCTACTGCAGCATGGAGAGCACAAGGCTGTGCCCAAAGCGGTAGACATGACCTGAGGAAGGGGCAGTCTTCATTAGATCCCGGGGGAGGGGGGTGTGTGATCACTTTTGCAACACTGCATACTAATTTTTCATGTTGCCGAAAAGAAGGTGCTGTGCACCAACAAGAAAGATAAGAACAAGAGACTAGATGGAGCTCGAGGGTTCTGAGGCTTCTGCTGTGATGACATGATATGTTTGATGGGGGGTTCGAAGTAGCAAGTGCACTAAATGTGGGAACACCTCGATGTGTTCGAAAATTTCTGAGTGTATGGCCCAAGCTCAAACCCAAAGCACCGAAGCCGAGAAAAAGAAAACCCGCATCTCTCAAGAGCTACAGATCACAAATCCCTACTTTCCTGGCAAGGAGCATCACCATGCAGCCTACATGAGCCGAGAGGGACGGCTCTACTACACCATTGGCCGCTCGAAGCAACAGCTCAGGCTTCCGGTTTAGGTTGTGGGTTTTTTGGGTTGCTGGGAAGAGGAGGCTTTCGCAAATTGCAAGCGGATCTTGTCACAGATTAGCCAGTTTATGCAGGGAAGCATTCAGGTATCAGTCAGTTCCCCCATGCTTGGGCTTGGTACAACGGCACCCGGGCTCAGGACCGTGTATAGAAGCTTGATACAAGCAGTTGCAGAAGCCAGGTTGCCGATGCCCTAAACCCTAAACCCTAAACCCTAAACCCTAAACCCTAAACCCTAAACCCTAAACCCTAAACCCATACTGAAGATAGTCATCATCATGACTGTTAGTACCGTAATGGAATAAGAACACCAATAATTAAACTACTCTCCTCAGACCTCGGGGCCAGAGAAGTGCTTCGAATATGAGAACAGCAGACCCATGGAAGCCCTTTTTGATCCAGCCTCTGCGCAATTTTTGGACTATCTTTTCTGGGGTGTTGGGGATGCATGGCTTGCGGCCCTAGTAGCAGCATCTAGCAGTCCCCAACTTCACGTTGAGGGCTGAGGGCGCGAGCAGGGCTTTGGCTTTGGACCAGGTATCCCTCAGATCCTTAAGCGCGCCACCTTCAGGCTCAAAGTTCTAAACTGCCCCAATAAACTGCCAAAACCCGGACTGCCCGAAAGTGCAAGTGTTCAGGCAATCTGGACTACCGCATAGACACGCCTGATGCCATCATCACCAACGACACCGACCTACTTCTGCAGTTCCTGTTCGAGTTTGTCTTCGGGGGGTCGCATGGCGCTGTTGGTGCTCTGGGGAGGTGGGGATACCCATAGGCCCCATAGTAGTTCCTTTTTGGGATTACCTTATAGGATTCTAAATAGGAACCCCAGAAAGGAACTACTTTGGGGCGTATGGATAAGGAGGTATATAGAGAGTCTTTTCAGCGTGTATATGGGTGAACACACGGTTCCAATTTTTGGATGTGGTTCAGCGCCGCAAGGTTTATTGGTGGTTCAGGCTTTCCCGTTTATCGGTAGCATGAGCTAGGGCAAGTCGATTTTGAAGTTTTGTAGCGTCCGCGAGCAGAGGGCAATGCTTGGGGCCCTGCGGCACTGTTTGGGCTAGAACGACCCACAGGAGAAGATGAAATCTGAAATATATACCATGTTGAAATCATCCTTCTGGGTTGTCCGCTAAGCCTAAGCCGTGTCCGTGGCCTGCTGGGGCGGTGGGGATTTCATGAGACCCTCGATTTCCGGACTCACAACAAGCTTCGTGCTCGAGGGTGGCGATCTCCGCCACAAGCCCGTCGGTGATGAACTGCATACGCTTCGCGTGCACGATCTTATCACCTCAACTGCTTGCTTAGGCTCTTACTGGCCTAGCGAAAAATTCAAAGCTTGGCTCAAGACTGGTTTCCTCGTAGCCTTGTCTCCCCTCAAAGCTTCTGGTAACCCATTTATAGTACCTCGTACAGTCGACCCTATTGCCGTTTTAGCAACCCGACCACAAACCAAGCCCTAATTACAGTGATCCCTTAGTACCCTTGTCGTCGCCCTTGACCCAGAACCCCACAGGCTCTAGCCCAGGATGTAAGCCCTGTAGCACCTATATGGGTGGTTGTCAAAATTATGGTCCCTTTATGGGTCCTTATTATAATACGGCATATACGGCACCTATTATTTAGGGTACCCCAAACGGGACCCTAATTTTGACAACTACCCATATAGTTCCATCCTGAGGATCATGAAGCCGGAGTCGGGATCCTTCTGCCAGCCCCGGAGCTGCAATGACTTCTCGGCTCGTAGCAGGCTTGACGGGTGGTTTAGATGTTGGGTCCTAGGATTTTGTGGCTGGAGTTTAGGGGTTTTTGGGGTTTGGGAAGCTACGTTGGGCCTCGAAGCCCTAAGCCGGAAGTAAGTTCTGGAAGTATTGTCCTAGAAAGCCCTGGTGTGCCCCTCCCTCCTGGAACCCTAAGGCCCAGAATGCTGTGGAAGATTCAGAGAACTCTGCAAAAACGCTGCAACAGCAGCACCGAAGAGCCACCCAGGCTCTTTTTCCTCGTTTTCACAGTGGCCGTGGCCTACTTCGAAGCCGAGGACGCCCTTCAATCTTTTGGGGGTTCCTCCTTCCCGAGATCTTGGCGCCTAAAGCTCCTAAGCTTAGGCTGAGGTGTTAAGGTTTATGGCTGTGGCCTGTCGGGCCGGCTCCGCAACGACGACAACATCGCTGTGCTTGCTGATGCTGCTGCCGCTGCCTCCTCTAGTTTCACGACTGCTATTGCTGCAGGCTTGTGCCCTGAACCCCACGTGACTGTGAAATCCAGGATGGTGCTCCAGGATGGGGGTTACCCTCGATTGGCCTCTTGGCATATCGGAACCGATGGTTGAGGCTCTTGCATGTACTACATGACGGAGAGTGGGATTACGATTCAGAGCGTCACCCAAGTGGGGGTTTCCGAAAATAGGGGACCCTAATATAGTACCCTAAATAATGGGATCCTTATTATAAGGACCCCAAAATAAGGTACCCCATATTTTCTGAAACTCCCAAAGTCTGCCACCTTCGAAGGTTCGGAGAGTTCTTTGGTGCCAGGTTCTTGGAGTCTGAGAGGAATTTGGGACTTTCTGAAAATATGGGGTACCTTATTTTGGGGTCCTTATAATAAGGAACCTATTATTTAGGGTACTATATTAGGGTCCCCTATTTTTGGAAACCCCCATTTCTCAGGTGTTCCACACCCCTTCCAGAAAGGCTGGGCAAACCCATGAAAGGACGAAGCCGAAATCCAGTGTGTTCGAAGCCATTCGTCCAAAGAGCCGACATCATGTAGTACTACCCTGAACCCAAAAAAAATAAACTCCAACCCACCGGATGATCCTAATCGTAAGTGTGGCTTGGGACTGTTGGAGCTGGGGAATCCCGCCAGCAACCTCCGACCTTCTCTGTGCATGGTAGTCCCTACCTTAAGAACCCAAAACCTACTTTTTTGTAGGTTCTTATTATACACCCTAATATGGGATTTATAGGGACCTTACAAAAAAGTAGGTTTTGGGTTCTTAAGGTAGATACTGTAAGGAGAAGAGGCTTCCGTAAATGGAAAAATATGTGCACATGGTCTCGGGTATGTAGTATACGCGATTTAAGTGTTAAGCTGCGTTCCTCTACTGCTGCAAACCCCCGAAGATGCAGGACGGTTCCAAGCACCCTCCCGGAGCAAAACCCGAGGCATTGCTTTCGCGGTAGTGATCGTGTCCTTGGTTCCGACTCTTTGCGCAGCCGATGGTCTCACAAAGGCAAGTTGCAGCAAGCTTTGAATTTCGATTCTGTGAGGAGATACTCGCACCTAAATTACACTCTAAGACCGAAGCCTCACCACCGACACTGGAACACCGCGTGCCATCAACGAATCCCTGAGCCCCACAACAACACTCGACTGAGCCCCACGCAAGCGAGGCTCATAGAACACCGAAGAAGCCTGCTGTACATCCTCCGTGCCCACCGGTTCCTACCATGTAGAACCCTTGTAGAACCGGAACCCATTTCCAGTAACCCATAATAGTATCCCTTTTTGTAGTAACCCCGATGGTAGACCCTGAACCCCACCGAAAGCCTCTCGCCAGCTGTGGCCAGGCCCAAACGGAGGTTCAGGCAGCCGAGGCAGAAAGAACTTCGGGTGCCATCGCTTTCGGGTTCGGGAGTTGAGGTTGCTGTAGGGCACGGTAGGGTTTTTGCCGGGTTCTAGAGTGGTCTGTCCCTGGGGGTTTCCCG